GTTCACATATAACACGTCCTGGATGTATGAGGTGTTTTTTAACACCTTTTTTGGCTTTACTAGGTTTGCAGCATTAAATATGAATATTTTATGTAGTCTAAAAATATGAGGTCATGAAAGCTGAATGTATAATAACTATTGAGAGTAGCATGGGCACAGGACATCAACTTTTAATAAAATTCATTGTGATGCAAAGCTGAATTTCCAGCATCATTACTCCAGTCTTCAGTGTCACATGATCTTCAGAAATCATTCTATGATGATTTGTTTCTCAAGAAACATGATACATTTTTGCAGGATTGTATAAGGGAAAGTAGGCTATACGGCTCAGGCGGTCTTTACGCTTTTAATCACATTTATCTTCACTGAGTTTGCAAAATGAAGTATGAATAGTGTATGTATTTTCACAATATGAGATCATTAATGCTGAATGCATAATAAATTATGTTTGAACTACATAGCCTGTATTATGTGTAAATATATAGCCTATGTAGGCCTATATATTTTTTATAAAGGCTAAATTAGCTAAATCTTAAGTTTCAATCGAGATTTTTTTGCTTTTTAATACTTTTGTGGAAACCATGATTCGTTTTTCAGGATTCTTTGATGAAAAAGTTTAAAACAAAAGCATTTATTTGAAATATTTTATTTTATTTATTTATTTGTTTAACTATAAATGTCTTTACTGTCACTTTTGTTTAATGTAATACATCCTTGCTAAATTAAAGTCTTAATTTCTTTACCAAAGAAAAACCTACTGACCTATACAGTACTACAGTGCATTTAGTGCTTTGTTTGAACCGATCGGTTCAAATTAAAACTGACAAGTTGACTCGTTAATGTTCTGTAAATAAAACCCTCACCATTTGACGTCGAAGTAAAATAATTCTTTCATCCTCCTCTCCGCTAGTGGGCGACTTACTAAACTCCCCATAAATATTCCCTGAACTCTCGCGATATTACCGCGTCTCTCCTGCTGTCTTCCTTTTCCGGGAGTCTCTCAAGATGGTAGGTTCACGTCTCATTTGTGAATAACAAAACTACAATAATCCAATCGAATCTACTGTAAATATGAAGCAAAGCAGAGTAGAAAATATGAATAAAGCTTACTGAAGAGTTAATGCACGCTTTCAGGCCATTATTTTTCGCCTGGGACGAATGTTTATATAGATGTTCGTACGATTAGCAGCTTCGCGCTGTACTAAATCAAGCGTGATGGATTCTCAAGTTTATTCTTATGTTTCTGCGTATCTTTAACGTGAGATTTAGTAGGAGTGTATTTTATTATCCGCCGTCTGTTTATTATTCAACACGCTATCGGTTAAGTAAAGGCCTGACAATAGCTGCTGTCGGTGGTTGTGTTTCAGGCGGACGCAGAGCAGAAGAAGAAGCGTACCTTCAGGAAGTTCACCTACAGAGGTGTGGATCTGGACCAGCTGCTGGACATGTCCTAGTGAGTCAAACCTCTGTCGTGTAAAAATCTTCAGTGGATGTGTGAGAGAGGAGAGAAGTGTGGAAGCCCGTTTCCGCCACTGAATAAAACATTAAAAAAAAAAAAAAGGTTATTGCGACTTTTTATCTCACAATTCTGACTTTTTTTCTCAGAATTGCCTGATTATAAACACAACTGCGTGTTGTAAAGTCAGAATTGCGAGATATAAACTCATAAATCTGACTTTTTTTAGAATTGCGTGATATAAACACAATTGCGAGTTGTAAAGTCAGAATTGCGTGATATAAACAATTGCGAGTTGTAAAGTCAGAATTGCGAGATATAAACTCATAATTTTGACTTTTTTTCTCAGAATTGCGAGATATAAACAACTGCGTGTTGTAAAGTCAGAATTGCAAGATATAAACTCATAATTATGACTTTTTTTCTCAGAATTGCGTGATATAAACACAATTGCGAGTTGTAAAGTCAGAATTGCGTGATATAAACTCATAATTTTGACTTTTTTTCTCAGAATTGCGAGATATAAACAACTGCGTGTTGTAAAGTCAGAATTGCAAGATATAAACTCATAATTATGACTTTTTTTCTCAGAATTGCGTGATATAAACACAATTGCGAGTTGTAAAGTCAGAATTGCGTGATATAAACAATTGCGAGTTGTAAAGTCAGAATTGCGAGATATAAACTCATAATTCTGAGAAAAAAAGTCAGAATTGTGAGATAAAAAGTTGCAATTACGTTTTTTATTTTTTATTCAGTGGCGGAAATGGGCTTCCATAGAGAAGCAAGGAATAATTTACTCAAAATGGCAGTGGAAATTACTCGGCCCATGTTTCGTAATTCTGATGGTTCGCGTTTCTGGTGGTTTTATAAAGGTAAACGTTGGACATTTTAATGACCAGATGCAAAAAGGAATAAATTGAATAGAACACGTCAATAAATGTCTGTTAGCAATACTTTAAAATTTGAAAATATAACTTGCAACAGATCTCCATTGCTTATCCGAACCACTAGAATATAGAAATAACTTTTACATTACCTTCTGATAGCACTGCAAAAAAAGGTATGTTATTAATCAGTATATTTGACTTGTTTCCAGTGCAAATGCCTACAAACACTAGAGAAGCAAAATGACGTACAAAATGAAGCGAGGTTATGGTTAAAAAAAAAAGAACAAAAATCTGTCAGTGGGTTAAATAAATGATTTCATTCCCTATTGACAGATATTTGTTCTTGTTTTAAGCATAAACTTGTGTAATTTTGTTCAGATTTCATATAATCTGCATCTCAAGTAAATGCATCATGATTTAAGGATATTTGTATTGGGAAACTATAAAATACTAAGATTGTTTTGCAGTGCATGTGATATTTAATTCCATGACTTTTTTTAGGCCTTAATTTGTAGATGTATAAATGTAGTCTGTATTATGTCACTATTTTTGTCATTTCAAAATCAATACAAATCTATTATAATTTAATATTTCCCTCTACCGCAGCTCAATTCTCATTGTTTTTTTTGTGACAGACCGGAAGCAATTAAATGTGATCAATCAGCTTTGAACGTTCTTACATTCTTTTAACTTGAAATAAACATGCGTTTCATTATTGTAACCTGAACTTTAACAGTCTTGCTTAAGCCGACCTCGTGAATGAAGGTTTTGTCATCAGTGATCTGATGATGCTTGTGTAGAAATGTTGATTAAGCCGGTGTGTGTGTGTGTTCCTCAGCGAGCAGCTGATGCAGCTCTACTGTGCCAGACAGAGGAGGAGGCTGAACCGCGGCCTCAGGAGGAAGCAGCAGTCTCTCCTCAAGCGCCTCCGCAAGGCCAAGAAGGAGGCGCCTCCTATGGAGAAACCAGAGGTGGTGAAGACTCACCTGAGAGACATGGTCATCCTGCCGGAGATGGTTGGATCCATGGTCGGCGTGTACAACGGCAAGACCTTCAACCAGGTTGAAATCAAGGTTAGGGATGAAGCATGCGGTTAAAATGCTCGTGTCAGTGCTGCTTTTTGTGGCTTTGCTGTAAAGTCAAGGATTCAGTGTAGCCTCTAAATATGGCTGATGTGTTTTTATTAAGGAATGAATACGAAGTGATTTTGATAGCTAATGGTTTGTATAATTTTGTCTCTTTTCAGCCTGAGATGATTGGTCATTACCTTGGAGAGTTCTCCATCACATACAAGCCTGTTAAACACGGTCGTCCAGGTATTGGAGCCACTCATTCTTCCCGCTTCATTCCTCTGAAGTAAAAAGCAATTGAGTATGTAAATAAAAACCTCCAAAACAGCCTCTGACTTTCTTTCTTTATATCGGCTCGTCTTGCTTGCCAAAAAAACTGGTTCATTTACATACTGAACATTCTCTGCTTCTGAAAAATTCCGTTTGTGTGCCTGTAAATCCAGGCTACAGGTCATCTGTCAGATTTATGCAAGGTTTTTATATAGGAACTCTATATAAAAAAATAAATCAGTTGAATTGCTCTGCATCATCGTTTTTGTCTTCAAGGGTGACAATATTTGAAAATGAGACGCTAATTAAATGTTTAATTTTTGTTTTTTAATAATGATTGAATTTCTTAGTTTTGGTGCTAAATAACTATTACATGAACCTGTTGTTTTACCTGAAATGCCAACTTTCACAGCATTCACATTCTGCAGGTATTGAAGTCTTAATTCATACGTTCACAAATTATGTATAAAAGACCTTAAAGTCTTATATACATAGTTATGTTAAATGTTACATGCATAACAAAAAATGAATTTCTTTTATTTTTTTCAACAGAAATATCTAAACATCCTTAAGTCTGAGAAATTGAACAGTTAACCAAGTATGCTTAAAACAACATGGGGACTGAAAACTTGTTTTTCCTTTGAAATTAATGTTGATTTTTTTTTTTGACAAAAACCCTGTCAATACAATAAATAGCCCATCAAAGTCAGCGTTTGTGCTTCATATGAAAAGTATATGAACCGTTCAGTAGGTAATATCTAAGAATGTGAGGCAGAAGCAGATCAAGCTTTTTATTTTAGACCACCTTTTTTTTTTTATCACTGTTTCAATGACAGGGCTAGGGTACTTTCAACATAAAAAGACTAAACTAATATGAAATAAAAAAAACTGCTTTTCACATGGCCAGAACAATATTCTGCTGTCCACCACCACTGAATAACTCAGAAATGGACATCATCTGATGTCAGTCAAATAAAATAAAGGCTAGTAATAGCCTGAAATAAATGCATACAATAGATCAGTCTATTTACAGTAAATGCTTCCAGTAACAGTATTGCACTGTTAAATCACAGAATTTTGAATAATATTTCATCTTGAGGTTATCACTTTTGGGCTGACAATATCATTGCATGTTTTATCCCATTTACATATCCCAGAGAGTGCAAATCATTTATTTGAATGGGCTGGCGTTATGTGTAGGTATATAAAAAACAACCTATAGGGGTACTCCTATAACTCGAAAGCAAGTAAAACCCATTCTGCTCTGGGACTAACGTCCATCTGAGCTGTTCCTTTAATGTGTTTCCTGCAGTCATACACCAACTAGTAAATATACAATGACCATACGTTCAAACAGTTCCATTAAATTTGGCCCACATGCAAGAGCAGAGCAAATTGAACACTTTTAAATGTATACCATCACTTGTTTATAGGTAGACAAGCTATTTCATGCCCTTAGATCTGATGTCCACTGTAGTCTCTGTCCCAGTATTGATGCTTTTTGGTGCAGTTGTTGGTCTTATCAAGTCTGGTTGAGATTTGGACGGTGACTTGGAGGCGGTTTTTGGTCTTGTGTCCTCTGGAGGTTTGGTAGTGGTGGTCTTTGTGGGGGCTGATTCCTGCTTGGGGTTTGAGGTGGTTGCTGGCTGCCACAGAAAGAATTCATGTAAGAGAGTATTAACTAGGTCAGGGCACTCCATCATGACCATGTGACTTCCATCATCTATGATCTTCAGGAACCCCAGCAATAGGATCTACAAGAAAGTGAACACAGTTAATATGATTGTGCACACCAAAATTTGTGGTCAAGTGCCACTAAAACTTTCAGAGAAACCCCAGGAGGAAAGAGCCAAATAAACAACTAAATGGACAAGGCTCTAAGCGTGGAACGTAAAATGATTGTACCTCTGCCATACGTTGGTCCTCTTGTACTAGTACAAACTTGTCGTACATGCCGTGAACCAGCAGAACAGGCACTGTGATTTCAGCATGGTAAACCTCGTCTCCCTCCGGCCAGTACTGTCCACTCATCATGGACCGTAGAACGAAGGAAGACACGTTGAAGGCATTGTTCTCTTTTAGCAGTTTCTTTTCTCTCATTCCCTGATGGGCAAATCCAGCCCTTGAAGACAGAAAAAGGCATCTTTTATTAGTTAAAAACTACTGTGATTGCCAGACATAGAGACTCATGATCAAGCTGGCAAAGAACAAGGCAAGGACAAATGTGGGATATACGTTATTTCAATACTCCAGTTTAGACATTTTACTAACTTTGAGTAACTTTGCAACTAAAAGGCTGGAATACACTATACAACTTTTGCCAAGATTTTTGCCCCAATTTACAGCCCGCTAATTGTGAAACTCAGAGCCAGTCTGCAGGTTTGAGTTGACAAATTTCATTGAAAATCGAGGTCTTCAACCCTGTTCCTGGGGACCCACTGTCCCACTGAGTTTATCCACAACCCTAATCAAACACCTTTGCAGGACAGCGGGTCCCCAAGAGCAGGATTGAAGACCTCTGGTATAGTGTATGATGGTCACAGACCCCGACAAACTGGAGTCTGTGCCCATCATACACAACAATTTTCTGTGAATACTGTTTACTCAGTTCTACAGACTGGTTCTGGCTTTTGGCAATTAGCGTCAACTTGTCCAGACTGTAAATCAGGGCAAAAATCTGTGTACAGCAGTGGCCAAAAGTTTTGAGAATGACTCGAATATTAATTTTCACAAAGTCTGCTGCCTCAGTTTTTATTTCTCCTAAAGTTGATTCAGCTGCGGGATCGGGGCACCACCAGTGCATTGCTTGCTCAGGAATGGCAGCAGGCAGGTGTGAGAGCATCCGCACACACAGTGTGTAGCCATATCACCCTGCAGCCCAAGACTGGTTGCCCACTGACTGTCATGCTGATTGAGTTAGAATAACAGACTGGAAGCTTTAAAAGGAGGGTGGTGCTTGAAATCATTGTTTTTCCTCTGTTAACTATGATTACCTGCAAGGAAACGTGCCGTTATCATTGCTTTGCACAAAAGGATTCACAGGCAAGGATAATGCTGCTAGTAAGATTGCACCTAAATCAATCATTTATCGGATCATCAAGAACTTCAAGGGGAGAGGTTCAATTGCTGTGAAGAAGGCTTCAGGGCACCTGAAAGAAAGTCCAGCAAGCGCCAGGACCGTCTCCTAAAGTTGATTCAGCTGCGGGATCGGGGCACCACCAGTGCATTGCTTGCTCAGGAATGGCAGCAGGCAGGTGTGAGAGCATCCGCACACACAGTGTGTAGCCATATCACCCTGCAGCCCAAGACTGGTTGCCCACTGAAGCTAAGCAGGGTTGAGCCTGGTCAGTACCTGGATGGGAGACCTCCTGGGAAAACTAGGTTGCTGCTGGAAGAGGTGTTAGTGAGGCCAGCCAGGGGTGCTCATTAATTCATTCACAGTGAGGCCAAGACTTTTGGAGGATGGCCTGGTGTCAAGAAGGGCAGCAAAGAACCCACTCCTCTCCAGGAAAAACATCAGGGACAGACTGATATTCTCCAAAAGGTACAGGGATTGGACTGCTGAGGACTTGGGTAAAGTCATTTTCTCTGATGAATCCCCTTTCAGCCAGGAAACTCCCCAGACCTTAATCTCATTGAGAACTTGTGGCCAATCCTCAAGAGGCGGGTGGACAAACAAAAACCCACAAATTCTAACAAACTCCAAGCATTGATTATGCAAGAATGGGTTGCCATCAGTTAGGATGTGGCCCAGAAGTCGATTGACAGCATGCCAGGGCGAACGGCAGAGGTCTTGAAAAAGAAGGGTCAACACTGCAAATACGGAGTCTTTGCATAAACTTATTGTATTTGTCAATAAAAGCCTTTGACACTTATTAAATTCTTGTAATTATACTTCAGTATACCATAGTAACATCTGATAAAAAGATCTAAAAACACTAGCAGCAGACTGTGTGAAAATTAATATTTGTGTCAAACCTTTGGCCACGGCTGTAGTATATTCTAGGATTTTGCTAAAACTATTTAATTAAATTAACAAGGTTGTTGCCAAACATAGACACTCATGTTCAAGCTGGCAAAGGGCAAGGCAATGACAAATGTGTCCTGTGGACCATTATTCTTACATGAGAAAGCTCCAGGTGAGGCACGGGGACAGGAAATTAAGGACACACGTGGGCAAGTTGAAGACAGAGCAGAGACTGGGCTCGAGTGCTGTAGGACCTCCACCGTTAATCATCACAACTTTATGAACTTGTTCCGGATACTCATGAGCCAAGAAGGTACAAAACGAGACACTGCAAGACAAGAAAGAAAATGCTAAAACAAGTAAGGAAATGTATCTGCATTTATCAGGCAAAGGCATACATTTTCTTACCCATAAGAGTGTCCTACTAAAATATTACGCTTCTTTGCATATCGCTTGAAGATGATCCTAACATCCTCAGCCAAAGCGTAAAAGGTATAGGCAGCGGGAATCTGAGGAGCTGAACTTGCACCATGGCCAGCCAAGTCTGGGGCAATGACCTCGTAACCAAGTTGGGAGAAATAGTCCAGTTGGCTTCCCCAGATATCCAACGAGCCCCCAACTCCATGAATGAAGAACAAGGCCACATCAGGGTGAGTACCTTTGCAGCATGTGATCTTCCGCTCACAGTCAATCACAATGGAGCATTTGGGTTTGCGCCGTCTGCGCTGCACTTGCTGCAGATTCTGCTGAGGTGCAGGTTTGCTATCCATAGCCTGTCCTGCGGTCGCCGACCCCGGCGTGTGTTCAGAAGCCTGAGCTGCAGGGGGAGCCTCACAATTGGAAACATCCGTATCCACAGTGCTGTCTCCATTCTGATAGCGGACCAACTCTGGATGGGTGGCTTCATTGACGTTCTCGATCAGAAGCTGTCCATTTCGGTACACTGAGATTTTGCGCTTGCAGCTGACCGTACCCCCTTCCCCAGTCCCTGGCTCCTCAACCACTGGTCTGTCTGGGATAATATGCCGAACTCTCAGAACCCTTCCTGGCTTTACCTCAACAAATTCAAAACCATCGGTGGGCTCGGAAGACTCAATAGGGACTACAACGTTAGTGGACTTCCCTGTAAAGCAACAGAATATTCCATCCACAAAGCTGGTGAGCATGGTGAACACCTGGGGAAATAAGAAGTACATTTGGGTTCTCAAATATTCAGTGCTTTAGTACATAGGCTTTGGCAAATTTGAATTGCCACACATCAGTTTGGCAGATCAATTATCCACGTGTTGAGTGCAAGCTACCCAGTTCCTCTTGTCAAAAAGTGCGCCAGAGCATGATTTTGCCGCCAACGTAGACTTAAGTCAGGGTAGTGACATATTGAATTTTTGACAGGAATGAAAACGAGACAGTGAGTGATAGAAATACAGTGCGTTCAATGGATTGTAGTATTGTTTAACAAGTAAACGGAACGTCAACAAAAACTGCACAGAAGTTGTGAAAATTACGTGATCTAGGACTTTACAGTGCATGCCATCGCAAAAACGGTAACTTTCGTTTTTATAAATGTTTAATTCAATATGGTGTCTAACCTGACTAATGTCTCTTGATGTTAGAAGTTGCATGTTGGTTTGTTTTTGCTCCAAATATAGTACTTTGCTGTCAGGCCTATTAGCCATTCTCGTAGGAGCACAGAATTATGGCACCTTCTAGCAACTCCATGAATTATATTCTATTTCAGGGTGTGAAATATATTATTCCCTTCCCAAAACTCAAAACTCCAAAATATATCTTGTTGGGATCACTATCGGACAATATACTAACATCAATACCATAAATAGCATTGTTTATAATTAAATTATCTTAACATGCATGGCAAACTAATTGTGCCTCAAAATTTCCTTACAAGGATTTTGAAATAATATACATTAAAAGAAGCTTTAAAAAAAAACAAAAAAACATGACAACCAAACTAAGTGTAAGAAGCTTTTTTTCCTTCTCAATGTGAATGAGTGCACTGGTCTTCATAACAGGGGGTTGGATCTATTTTAATTGTGAGAAGTCACAATAATGACACTGGTTTTTATGATGCAATTAATCAAACGCTCCCTGTTGGATTCAAAATTAACATGGTGTTTACTTTGTAACATTCTATACTTATGCATTCAAGTAGATAATGGAAGTTTTTTTTTTTAACTATAGCTGCCAAGAAAAAAGCTCATGTAAATAATTGAGTGAATATTTTTCAAAGCATTTTAATTAGTTGCATCACAGCTTGGAACAGCCTTTCCTTTAGTTAAGGCTTTGGCCTTGTAGGTTGCCTCCAATTTTTGATGACAAATAAATACATCCCTTCACAAACCGTACAGTGCAATATCTTACCTGATTATCGATGTTCCCGGTACATGAAAAAGCTGGATTGTTTACTCCAGTAGCTTCTCTTCCCTGTGTAATGAAATTGTGGGTTGGTAATCTGCTACCCTCAATCCAATAATCAAATCCAAATAGAATCTCTTTCCACGTAATTAAATTACTTTAAAGATAATTTAAAGACTTCATTTGATGTAAAACCTATAATAATTAAAAGAGCAACAACGACTGTTTTTCGCTTTCATTCACTCCCTATCTTCCAAATCTACATGGCCACAGTAAAAAGTCCAGATTAAAGCGGATTACACCTGTTGAGCATATGCTGTTACAGCCTCACTGAAAACATGCACTGGCTAGCAACCACCATCTATTGTCTTGAATTTTTTATAAATTACCTTGAAATCTACATTCAATATGGCTCAACACAAAACATTTGTAAGCTCATTTTTATTGATTCTCAAAAAAAAAAAAAAAGTTGACCTCGAACATAGAAATTGGGAAGGCTTCATAAGAACAAGAACTTACAAATGCAGGTGTAATTGCGGTAAGTAATGCTGTAACTCTTTGAACCAGATTTAGACTCAAGATGGGCTGTTCTCTGCACACTTCCCCCTCAAGAGGTTTTAAAAGCTTTCTTTACTCAAAACATTTTGCATGCATTGTTTTGTTAATAACCTCAATAGCTTCAACACATTTCAATCTTTTCAGCAAGAACAAACCAACAAATTTTGCCAGGAAATGGCTTGAAACAGCTGACTTAACCTCACAGCATGTCTCCAGCCACATTGCATGTTGTGGACTCAAAGCACACTGGCTGAGAGTATTAAGCCTCATGTGTAGAGCTCCTCCTGTTTATTGTACCACAGCTCACCGACGCCCTCTACAGGTTAAGAGAGGAACTGCTGCATAGTTGCACCTTAAATCTCAGAACTCCAAAATTAAACTACTTAAATCCAAACAAAGGGGAGACACTATTAAACTCCAACCTGGGAAAAACTCCCATCATATTTAGAAGGCAAACAGACTGCAAGTGAATCAGCGCTCAGGGATCAAGTCAGAGAAGGAGTCAGGCATCTGAAGGCAAGTAATCTGTTTATGATTCTGGAACGAACACAGCACTGGAAACCTACGTGACAACGGGGGAAGTGAAAGAGACTGACATTTGTATTTCTTTACATCACCAGTAACGTCATCCTCAACCTGTGACAACAGAAAAACAGACCCAACAGTGCATTCATGCACAAGTATGCACCTGCTAGGAAGACCGTCACGTTACCAACACCAAATACTACATCTAAATCTGCCAAACGTGCCTGTACATTTCCGAAATTTCCCTTTTTGGACGCTGAAGAGAAATGCCTGTGTGTTTAGTGCCTGTGTTCTGAGTACATCATGAAAGCGGTAATTCACAGCTGAGATTACTAGGGTGTGTTTCAACTTTTACACTGCATTAATAGTGTCCTAACAAATCAATTTTCACACACGTCTTCATAGCAGAGATTCATTCTTATGTGCTTGTTGAATTCCCACCCCTCGAAGTTCAGCAGAATCGTCAAAGCTGGCAGTGGAAACCTGTCGCGCCACACACGTTCAGAACAGGGCACTGACTGCATCCGGAAGCACTCAGTAAAATAAAAAAAAAGCACACTGTAAGAGAAGTGTTCTTCCATTTCTTTCTTTCTGAGATGAAATTCCTGTGTGGTGTGCGGGAGTTTGGGCTTGTTGTGTCCGTTCTTGTGCTGTTGGATGGTGGGTTCCTCTACGAGTCCTCGTTCATCTCCTGGCTGTCTGTCCGGGCGATTTTGCGGGGAGGCGCTGGGCTGCCACCTTCCCCTTCTGCTTGCTCCTGCTCTCGCTTTTTAGCTGCATTCTGCAAGACATAAAAAAAGTATATGATCTTTCCAGTAGCTAGAAGTTTATGCAGGAATGATTTTTCAGTCTCGTTCCTGCTAAAAATAAGTTATTTCTTCCCGCTCGCTATGTTTACATTCTGTCATCTACGCTGATTTTTCAGTTTCGTTTCAGTATGATTCTGTACCTTAAAACATAAATTAGAATATCTTTTATTTTTAGATATTTATATTTTGCACGAGTCCCAAAAGTCATATTATTTTTTCCACTTCCTGCCCACTCAGCAATTCCAAACTAGTCCCACATTGCACTCATTTGTGTTTTGTCCCGCAGGAAAGCGAACCTCTACAAGTAGCTGCATTTCTTATCAGGGCAGAACAAGAGGCTGTTCACCCAGAATGCATTTTTGCATTCTATCGCATTCTTTTCCTTTTATTTTGCATTTCTTTTCCTGTATTTTGTATTTTCTATGTGCATTTCATATACAGTAACAAAGCACATATTAATTCGTTCATTCACAAAAATACAAAATAAAAATCCTACATCAACATTATGACTAATGAGGGATTTTGTATTTTCGCTTCTCAGTGTAAATTCATTTTATATAAGATTTTTAAACAAATATAGGCCAGAACACCATGAATAAGAATAATACAACAATTTCAAATTAAATATTTACTGTAATTAAAATATTGTCATATTTTAAATTTTAT